CTGTATAGAATACACACTGAATAAAGCTCAAGTCGACTGAAGCTGAACAGCAAAAGAATAAGACGAAGAGAGTGAAAAAAAATAACCACCTGACAGAAGACTAGCTTTACACCTCTTTCTTGTTCTATTTATCTCTTATCTCCTCTATTTTTGTTGTTGTTTTCTTTTTTTTTTTTTCACCCGCTGTTCCCTCGTCTGCAACAGTTCCCCGTTAAACACTTCTCCAGCAATAATTTGCTTAGACCTCTATAAATCTTTGAAGAGACTAGCATAAGAAAAAAAAAAAGCTAATACTGTTTTTTCATCTAACTTCCCTGAAAAAAATATCCCCCTTTCCAGCAATCGTCTTCGTTCAAAGCGTGCTTTAGCATCTAGCTCAACATTAAGATACAACAGCGATACCGCGCACATCCACAGCCACACATCGGCAAACACAAATAACAGTTTAGATACGCCACTTCCAATCCATTTACCATCAGTGCCCCCCCTTGAGCTGCTGCTGCTGCTGCTGCCGTTGCCAGTGTTTCTAGGCAAGCAAGAGTTTCTACGTTTAAGCCTCTAACGACTTACTAGTCTTACACTCAACGCTCACATTATGCCGTCTCAAGCAGGTAAAACTTTTTCTCTAGGATGTCAAGAAGAAAAAAGTAATAAAGAACTTCTAATTTAATCTACTTTATTTGCCTTAGAGATAAACTTAATCAGTTATATACTATTTAATAACCATTATTTTATTGAATATTGTTTTTACCAAAGTTTTAATTTTTATTTCAAAAGAACAAAAAGAAAAACAAACAAAGAAACAAATAAAAATCGTATTGAATTGGCTATGGCTATAGGTGTTAGCGTACAATATAATTGCAAATCAACTTTTAAGTCAAAATTGTCGAAATTTGTACCAAAAATGACAAAAAACTTCAAGCTAAACTGTTTTCAAGCTTATGAAAAAATTGCTGTCATTCTTTGACAATTTTAGTCGTTCTTTTTTGTTTTTGTAACTAAATTTTAACAGTTTTTTACAAGTTTGATATACTTATTTAAAATATGCAATTTCTATTGTATAACTGGAAATAAATTTAAAGTTTTTTAGTTGAACAGCCTAAATATTTTACCTGCAATAACTGTGTAATTCTTAGGAAGCTTTTTTTTTTCTTTCTGTTACCTTAACTTTTTTTTTTGACAGTTTCAAACGTTTTTTTTTTTTTATTTCAAATGATTAATTGTACAGAGGTGAAATTTTGTTAAGTTTAGTTAGACGTGTTATTTGAAAAAAAATTTATTTGCAAAGACAACAAATGTGATAACGTTGAACCACCAAAGTTTTCTCCTCTTCTACCTTCCCCCCCCTCCCCCCCCCCATCGCCTCTTCGTATCCCCTCGCGCCTCGTCCCCGTAATCTTTACCGTACTTTTGAAAAAAAAAAATTTTCCACATTTCCAATGCTCTGTTGGAATGGTACAGTGATTACAACGGGGTGGATGAAAAATTGTATGAAGTAACATTTGAGGAAATAATCAGAACAAAAAAAAAAAACAGAATTTTTTTTTTCCTTTTGTTTGTTTTCGTTTTTTTTTTGTAAGCACCAAATAAAGAATTACCTTTAAATTTTATGAATTTTTCAAGAAAAAAAATTGAAATTTTTTTCTTAGTTTTTAAATTTATTTTATTTCTTTTCCTATATTTATTTTCTTTTTACTTTTTGCCCATCGCCCATCTCATTTTGTTTTCGAAAAAGAAAAAAAAGAAAATTCTTTTCAATGCCTTCGCTTTTGTTACGTTTTGTTTCTATTTTAAATTTATCTTTTTTTTTTTTTCACGTTCTCTTTCAAATTGATAACAAAATAAAATAACATTTGTTTTGAATTTATCCAAAATAAAAATAAAAAGAATTTTTTTTGTCTATTAATATTTTGACCTCTCCGAATTTTCCACCAGTGTATTCTTCCGCCGGTTATACGTTTTACAAATATTTTTGGTTTCTAAAAAACAAATCATCAGTTCCATTTGATGGTCGTAAACTGTTTTGATGTTGTTTCAGCTCAATCTTCCGTGTATTTCAGTTGAGATTTGTCTTTTTATTTTTTTGTTAATATATTTTTTTTAAGTAGAAGACAAAATTTTTGTGTTCATTTTTTGATATACAATTACCAGGGAAATAAAATTTAGACTACAATTGGAAACAGAAGAATAGTAATTTCGCATTTTAGACACTTTTTCACTTGTACTGTATAGTTATTTTTTCCTTGTTTATTTGTTATCCCAAAACAATAAATGATTTTAAAGAGTAAAAATACAAGAAAAAAAATTTTTTTTTTTACTTATAACAAATTTCAATGCTTCTAAATGCACTGTTTTTGGTATCAGAATTGGAATAGCAGTTGTATTCAACATCCAACTGGCAGCAGCTAACTAATTTGCTCTCTGTAACTGCTGCTGCTGCTGCTGTTGCTGTTGCTGCTGTTGTTGAGGCATTCTGTAACCAAAACCTCCTTCAGATACAAATATTTCTGTTCATCTGTTCAAACGGGGCTGTTTGTTATTTTCTGTAACAATTGCATTGATAAACCAACTTTTTTTCTTTTTTTTTTTTGTCCCCTTTCCCCCCCCCCCCACTTTTCGTCCATCTAACGTTAGT